TAGTAGTTGAGCAGGGATAGCCCAATGTTTTGAATAGGCGTATTCCTGTATTGGAGGATGGCTCTTGCTGCACGGTTATTATCCAACGATCCTTGGGCTCCTGTGTTGCCATTTATGATTCTTTTGGCTGTTTTGACAGCGAGCTCTGCTCGACCATTGGATTGTGGGTAACCAGCAGATGATAACCTTTGTTTAACAGCCCAGTCTTGCAAAAATTGCTTGAATGGAAGAGATGTGAAGGGTGGCCCACCATCACTGCTGAGTTCCTCAGAGCCCCGTAGGTTTGAAATATGTCTCGGCAAATCGAAATAATCCTTGAGGCATTAGCTTCTCCGTGGCTCAAGTGGTATAGATTCAGCCAGCCCGTTAACCTGTCAGCGCATGCTAAGTAACCATGGTTTCCAACATGGAAGATGTCCATGACGATTTGCTGAAATGGCCAATCAGGAGATGGTGTCAAATTGATTGGCTCTTTTGGTTGACTCGGGGCAATTTTTTGAGCAGAACGTACAACCTGCTCTAATGTTACGAATTGAAGCATTCATCCCGGGCCAATAGACAGATTCATTGGCACGTGCCTTCATGCCAACTTCGCCTTGATGTGCAGAATGTAGGCTATGTAATATTTTTTGCGCGTTGTGAGGTGGGGATAACAATTCTTTGATCTAAGAGCACTAACCCGTCGTCAACACTTAGGCGGTGCCTCACTTCCCAATATTCGCGGATTTCAGGTGCAGTGAGGATGCGCGTTCTTTGGAATCCGTTTTGTATTACTTCAATTAATTTTTTGTATTGCGGGTCGCTGCGTCCCGCCGTACGGATAACGTCTGGTGAGATGAGCTCCAGGTTGTCATTTGCACCGAATGTTGCTAATAAGGTTTTGATTTGACCCAGTCATCCATGTTGTCAGACTCTATGATGTCTGATTGAGAGGGTTCAGCAGTGAATACATTTAGGAGTGCCTGTGAGATGTCTGCTGGGTTACGAGAGACAGCATCGGAGGCTCTGTGCCATTTCCCAGGGCAGTGCTGAATGGTGAATCTGTACCTGAGGGTTTTCTCCTTTAACCTGAATAATCAGGGGTTTTGGATTTTACTAAGGTCTCTATCTCCGAATAATCCTTTTTAGTGGTTCATGATCTGTAACCACTATGAGATTCGGGCAACCCATTACAAAAATCCGACATTTTTCCAATGCCCATGCAATTGCTGCTGCTTCGCCTTCAATAGGTGCATATCTGCGTTCAGCATCAATGCAGAATCTGCTACCAGCAAATATCAGGCGCCAACCTTCAGGGCAGCAAACTGGGGCTTTGTCAGTGGTGCATGAGCAATACTTCTGCAGAAGTAGGAAGCCCATTCCGTCTTTGCTCCAATCTGGGGCAAGGCAGGTTATTCTTTCTTTTTGAAATGTTGCGATGCCTTTTCGGACTAAGTCAACTATGACCTTCTTTGACTGCTGGAATGCATCCTCAAGGCTTTTATTCCATGTAAAGTGTGAGTCTCGTTTTACGAGATCACGAAATGGAAAGCATGACTGGGCTTAGTGAGTATGCCCAAGCGACTTGGTTGACCAGCCCAAACCATGATCTGGCATCGGTGAGTGTTTTTGGTATTGGGAAGCTCAATATTGCCTCCAGCATGGATTTAGAAGGGTTACACCAGAAGATGTTATTTGGAGGCCCCAAACTGCACCGTGTCTTGGCAAAATTGGAATTTTCTCTATTTATTACGATGCCGTTTTTTTGCACAATGGAGGAGAAAATCGAAGGTGTGAAAAAGGCTCCTTCGATGTCAGAGTCATAGAGTAGGGTGTCATCCACGATTTTTTTACTTTGCGGGGGATGTCTTTTATTACTTCATCATACCTTCGGGTGTAGGCATCGCCAGATGCTAGGTAACCTTGTGGCATCCTCAGGTACATGAACCTTCCCCATTCTGTGATGAAGGTGGTGAGTGGCTGGGACTCTTTATCTAAGGGGATGGAATGATATCCATCAACAGCATCCAACACTGTTTTCTTTTGTTTAGGTGGCACTTGTAGTGCTAGCTGGAATGGTGACCCTGTATGGTGTGTTTCCCGTTTGCACTGTGAATTCAGGTGTTGGTAGTCTATGGTTCTTCGTGGTTTGCCATTTTTTTTGGCGGTAATTACCATAGTGCTACACCAATCAGTGGGCATGCCAACGGGTACTGGGGGTTATGATACCTTTTTTCACATCTTCCCAAAGGGCCTGTTTTACGGGCTCTTTGAAGTGAAAAAGGCACAGGAATTGGGTTATGTCTGGCTTTGGGGACTGCTCCTTCTTTGAGGTGTATATGTGCAGTGGGGCCAGACATCGGTGGGAATTCACCATTGTTCTTGAACGCCGTTTCGGCAAATTGATTCAATAGCCAATTCTTGAGCCTATCAATGTTTTGTTCTGTTGGAAGAAAAGGGAGTTTTTTGGGGCGTGTTGGAAGTTGTCCCTCAACTTTGCATTGTTTAGGGCTTACGTCCGATTTTTTATGTGTGCTTGTCGAGGGCATGTGTTGCATTGTTGTTTGGGGTGATATTGTAGTTGTCGGCTTCGGGAAGTCTTTGGACAGTATCCCTACATCAATGCAGGCTACTTTGCTGAAGTATAGCCGCTGAATCTTTTTGCATATGTATAGGGCTTGTTTAGTTGTTCTTCCTTGGACGATGAATTCCACGGGAGCCAACCCTGACATACAAGCGTAAAGCCTCCCACAGCTCGGACGACTTTTCTTGATGGAATGAGGTTGTTGATAGTGAGCCCCATATTCAGAAGGTGCTTAAGTCCCCGAGACATATGGTGGCCCCCACTGTCAGGAAAGATTGTCATCCTAGTGCTGTGATTTCTGGGGATATTCTTAATTTGTCTGGGATCCGGTTTTGGCGAAAATGGAACAACATATGCATCAATTTCCCTTATCTGACCTGTGTCTTTAGATGTATACGTGCCTGTCGTTTGATTGAATGTGATGTGGGCGATAAGTGTGTCCATGGCGGCTTCATTAGCCTCTAGGCTTTTCCTGACCGCTTGAGCTGGTTTCTTAGCCCGGCATACCCTCGATAAGTGATTGGGCTTCCCACAATTATTACATGTTTGTCCCCACGCTGGGCATTTTAGCCGGCGTGATTCAGTTCCTGAGGAGCCATGCTGGTGGCTGCCACAACCTAAGCAAGCCTGGTGGTTTGATTTAACATTGCAGTTGCAATAGGTACTGGTACGGATCGCCTCGTTGGCTTGTGGTGAACCCTTCTGTCTGCGGTATGTTGATAGCAGAGCAGCAGCTGTATCTGAAGCACTGGCCATTGAGGTTTGGTCCCGCAATGCTGATTCAAATGCCTCAGCATGACGGATATTTTGTCCAAGGGATTTAAGTGCCCCAGCTTTGGCCAGTAGGTCATCCTGGAGTGTGTCATTTGCTATTCCACGGATGATCTGGTCCTTGATGTATATATCAGACAGGTCATGTTCACACGAGGGCAGGTAAAGTTACAATCAACGGCTACGGCTCTGAGGCGGACAAGGTAACTTTGTATTGGCTCATCAGCATCCTGAGACATGGAGGCAAAAGCAAGGCGATGGACAATAGGACTTGACCTCTGGGTGACCAACACTTCTACCATGTCAAGTAGATTATCTGGATCAGTGGTAAAGAAGTCAGGGTGTGTGTTGATTATGGCGTTTTGCACAGCCTCATCAGCACAATTGTATAGGTGAATATTAGCTTGGGAGTTTGGCATATTTGTCATCTTGGTAAAGACATCCCAGTCAATTCGGAACTTCCTGAATTGCTGTGGTGTCATCTCGAGATTGAGATGAGGAGGCTTGGCTGCTAGTGCCTGAATGCGGGTTGTCTGGGTGGCGGATTCCTTAGCCTGCTTAATGATACACAGGGCTTCTCCCATTAATGTGACTCCCAGCTCCTTAAGCATAGATCGATCCAGCATTTGAAGGCTCTCGATTGTCAGCTTCTCGTCCGCAAACCTTGTTGCATGAGTTTTGGCCGAGTCGGTGGATATGCCTGCTTCAATGAAGAAGAGTTCCCAATTTTCAGGTGTCATAAATCCTGTTCGCAGCGCCATGTCGAACAATACGTGGTCAATATAAACACTCAGTTGTGGAGCAAGCTGAGTGAAGACTGATTCAACATTGAGGAAGAGAGTTATTTATGGTGCAATGGAGCATCTCATTATGCTAAAGTGGGATAGTCCATTGCTTGGGCTTTGATTGGCTGCTGGTACCTGAGTGGAAGTATTTCTATATAAATACCAGCTTAATTTCAGTTAGTTTGCGGGGTTTGTATTAAGTTACAACCTGCTTTATTTTTGTCTGCCAGCTGGACGCTAGCTGGAACTCTTACGCCGGTAAGTGTCGTTTATTGTATTATTATTCTACAGTGTCCTCCCTCTAAGAGTCTATGTTGAACTCTTCCGCCTACCATAAGATTAGTAGGAGAGAAGGCTTTGGGGGAAAAATCGAATAGATTGAACGCTGGATCATCCGACACACACTTACTAGTCGTGTAATACTCATCTGTTGTACTTACTGTTTGATATATGATATATCTGAAACACTTGTTTTGTTATTTCTTTAACCATTTACTTGGTCACACCATTCACTCAAAACATTTTTTTAAATCAGATTAGCTTAAAAATACTTTTTTAATTATTTAAGATATTGTTCGTTTAATGAAAGCTGTAATATAAATAATTACTTTACGAACAACTGGATGAAACAATAAATTGGGATTTCTTTGTGTCTGTCTTTAACTAAAAAATAATTTAATTAAAAAAATTGACTGTTTCTAGAAAGTTTAAATAAAAATAATTACTGTATAAACAAGCCGTATTTTTAAAAATCTTATTCACTTAGATTGGCTTAAATGATGGTTCGCCGGACGGATGACGCACCACAAGCACGGACGCAATCATAGGCTTTTAGTATTATATAATTAATAGATAGATCAATCGATACATAATGAAGAGACTGAGATAGATAGATAGATAGATAGATCAATCGAGACATAATGAAGAGACTGAGATAGATAGATAGATGAGTAGGTAGATAGATAGATCAATCGATACATAATGAAGAGACTGAGATATATATATATATATATATATATATATATATATATATATAGATAGATAGATAATGAAAGACTGAGATAGATAGATAGATAGATAGATAGATAATGAAGAGACTGAGATAGATAGATAGATAGATGAGTAGGTAGATAGATCAATCGAGACATAATGAAGAGACTGAGATAGATAGATAGATTGATAGATGAGTAGGTAGATAGATAGATCAATCGATACATAATGAAGAGACTGAGATATATATATATATATATATATATATATATATATATATATATAGATAGATAGATAGATAGATAGATAATGAAGAGACTGAGATAGATAGATAGACAGATAGATAATGAAGAGACTGAGATAGATAGATAGATAGATAGATAGATAGATAGATAGATAGATGAGTAGGTAGATAGATCAATTGAGACATAATGAAGAGACTGAGATAGATAGATAGATAGATGAGTAGCTAGATAGATAGATCAATCGATACATAATGAAGATACTGGGATAGATAGATAGATAGATAGATAGATAGATAGATAGATAGATAGATAGATAATGAAGAGACTGAGATAGATAGATAGATAATGAAGAGACTGAGATAGATAGATAGATAGATAGATAGATAGATAGATAGATAGATAGATAGATAGATATCAATATGTACCAGTATGCGTGTGATGTGGTAAGTTGTATCAGAAAAATATGAAATAACTAAATGGCCTCTCAATACAAGCTACTCAAGTTGCACGGTGATTGAATGGCGGGAGAAAGGAGAGTATATTCTGAGGATATCTGTGATATGTAACGGTGAAACTTAGATCTAAAGAGGTTAACATCTTAGTGATCAGGATTTTGTTCTTGAAAATAGAGGCTCTCAGTAAGAAATAATTTGACAGCAACTTCCTCCTTGCCAATTGAATACGACGGGAATAAGAATAAAATGTATGCAGCATGGCAGATCCTAGCTGTAAAAGTCTGAACTGGGGAAACTAAGGAACGTAACTCGTCCGAACTTTGGCCATGGAAATAAAAAATATAATAGTTAATAATTATTGAGGTTTCGTCGGCCTGAAAGGAGCTGTAGGGTTTAAAGGCGAAGAAAAGTGAAGTTTGGCTAGCTCTACACCAGATAAAGCAGCAATACTTCATTTTCAATCTGGTATGATTATCTTAATACGAAGTAAAAATGAGTGAAATTTCCAAGCAATCCCCGATACATGACAAAAAAGAAAATTTAAAATTCTCTCTTGAGATTCAAACGCGTTACCCAGCCCAATGGCAAAGATCAAAGTCCGCGCCAAAAATTCGAGAACATTTATATAGTATTATACCAGTTCAAATAAACTTCATGTAGGAGTGACCAGAGATGACCCCAGCCGGAGATGTAGTTCTATGATTCACACGTTGTCGTTGGTAACGTTCGGGAATGGCTGCGCCGAGTATGTGGGCCCTTGAAAAAAAAAAGAAAACGTTGGATAGATGGATATATAGACATCTCCCCCAGAGAGGAAGTGTTGGGCAGTCTCCCATACATTGCAGACGAAATTTAAGGTCCATAATTGGGTTTCCTGGGGTCGCATCAGCGACTGATCAAGAGCGACGGAATATTGAAGTGAAATGAAATGTAAAACTTGTGTTATTCATTTAATCAATACGTATTATCATTAGTAGATACTGAATGTGTAGATAATGAGACAAAGTGGAAGAAGAAATCTTTTTTTTTTAAGACAACGCGTTTCACCTTCGGGTGTCAGGCCGGCGTCTTCAGGCCGGATTGAAAGACGAAACTGTTTGTAAGGAAAATGCGGTAGGATTTTTGAAGAAAGGAGGCAATAAATGACATTATAATACCCGGCGACCAGAAAGTCCTTATAAAGAAAAGAAAAGAAACAAAGCACTTTTTTTGTCGTCGGATCTGACGAGGTAATTTATTATTAATTTAAACAGACAGACAGATAGATAGACAGATAGATAGATAGATAGATAGATAGATAGATAGATAGATAGTATTGTGAGACCGGAAACTACCTACACAATAGACTCTTCCAGGCTTATATTAAGTAGGCGACATAGCACTGTGATAGAGAATGACAGAGAGAGACAGTGAGAGCCGCGTACGACTACCAGTGCTGGACACTAACATATAGTAAGCTCCGCTTACACTATCTCTGTAACCTGTTGTTAATATATCTTTCTTACATCTAATCCGTGTTCCGTGTTTTCCTTTTGTGGTTCCAACTTTGGCCCCACATCAGATAGATAGATAGAAAGATAGATAGATAGATAGATAGATAGATAGATAGATCAATCGTTACATAATGAAAAGACTGAGCTAGATAGATAGATAGATAGATAGATAGATAGATAGATAGATAGATAGATAGATCACTCGTTACATAATGAAAAGACTGAGATAGATAGATAGATAGATAGATAGATAGATAGATAGATAGATAGATAGATCAATCGTTACATAATGAAAAGACTGAGATAGATAGATAGATAGATAGATCAATCGTTACATAATGAAAAGACTGAGATAGATAGATAGATAGATAGATAGATCGTTACATAATGAAGAGACTGAGATAGATAGATAGATAGATAGATCGTTACATAATGAAGAGACTGAGATAGATAGATAAATAGATAGATCAATCGTTACATAATGAAGAGACTGAGATAGATAGATAGATAGATAGATAGATAGATAGATAGATAGATAGATAGATAGATATCAATATATACCAGTATGTGTGTGTCTTCATGTATATGTAGGGTAAAGCCTCAGGCATAGAGTTATCTACTCTTCACAGTTACCAATACTCCTAGAGGTCATCTGTGTATCCCTGTATTGGGAGGGCGGATTGATCTTCTCCCTCCTCCGAATTTGGATCCTAACACAAGAACTTAAGAGACTTTAAGAAAATGGCCACCCTTTTAACCCACAAAAAGGTAATGTACATATTTCTATTATATTTGAATTATTTTTATTTCCACCTTTTTGTGTAGCAATGTTCTATATAAGTATTCTGTGATTTATATTCTACAGGTTGAAAGATTGTAAATAAAATAGCTGTAAACGAAGCTCGATCTTGTGATTGCATCCAAGGGAAGCTCAGTAGAATACTTTACGGCATCAATGAATACCCAACCAAGTAAAAGATGTTAGAATCCCAATCTACTTTCACAAGTTCATGCTTAACCTGGGAGAAATAGGAGGGAAACTGATGCCTTATAGTAATTGTGCGGTATCCAGATGACCTACGTTCTAAAAGTTCTAAGCTTTAAGCAGAAGGATTTGGAGAAAAAAGACAGTTTTAGACTATTGTTCATGGAATTGGTCCAATAATACATTGTAGTCTCATCACGGAAGAAGGTGACGTCCTGGTCCTGCAAAACCTCTTCCACAGTTCATATAATCTCATCATTCTTTCCCAAATAGCGACCATGGAGATGGGATTTGTGTTTAAGAAAATAGGAAGAAGTCAGATGGAGTTAAGTCTGTCGGGTAACGGTGATCGGGTAGCAATTCGAAGACACAGTTAGCTGATTATGCTATTGCAACCTGAGCAGTGTAAACGGGCCCGCTATCCCGGAGCAAGACATGTCCTGCGTTTCGACTTGATTGCTTCCTTTAGTTGTCTTAATTCTGATGCGTAAGGCTACTGACCATTAATAGATTTTATTTCCTTTTAAAGGTAGTCTATAATGATTACACATTCAAAAAAAAAAAAAAAAGAACAACCCATCACCTTGCTAACAGATGCTGCCTGCTTGGATTACCTCGGGATGAAGAACCAGTGTGTTTTCACTGTTTGATTTGAATCTTTGATTCAGGTTCGAAGTGGTGAACCTATGTTACATCTTGAGTTACTAATATGCGATGGAAATTCTCAGGGTCAGCCGGGAAGAGAACTGATGGAAACATTGCTGGAACTATTTTTTCGCGATAGTAAGCAGGTGCCGCATCGCATTCACTTGTATTTTCTCGATGTCTTGAAATCTTGCTCTTTTCAATTGGTATTTGATTTTTGAAGACGACAAACGCCGTAAGGGACAAAATTTGGGGAATATGGTGGTTGTCGGCTCTGGGAAATGTTGTCTTGATCAAACATTGCTGCACAAGCCATAGTCACTGATGAAATGTTTGTGTCCTGGTGAGACGACCACACTCTACACACTTTCCTTCCAAACACTTCTATAAACAACTGAAGTGAACGAGAACTTCATAATTTACTTTGTATGCGCGACAGTGTTCAATATAAATCCTAATCAAGAATCTTCACTTATTAGATCTGTAATTATAGCAACAGTACCGATACATTTTTTTATCAGACGTCATATCATTATATGGCGTCTTTGACCATGTACTTGTACTCAAGTTCATTTCTAATCTCAAGTGAAACTCAAATATACGACAATCGCTAAGGATGCTGGGAAAATAGCTGACACCTATTATCACTCCAGAATATATTTGAATCCACCGATAATATTCTATCATGACAACAGACAGATCAGGCCAAAAATAGAGTCCTCCTGAAGCTGCCCAATTTACATTTTCTTGTTTTGACCCTACAACACTAACCATCAATTAAAGCTACACCCCTACTAACTTTGGGTATGTTATACCCGATTTTGAAAATAGAAAAAAAAAATTAAATATAAATCTTTACTTGAAATATTTTACATGCAGGCACTTCAAACTTTGTACTTTTTAACATTAATAGGAACTGAAAAACATATTATTTAGGTAAGAAAACCAGGTACTGAAAATTCTATTTAAAAATAGGAAAATTTGCGCTGGGTACTATATACCCAGGGTTAGTGTTCTAGGGTTAATATAGTTCAAGAGCTTCTATCTGGCCTTGTGGATGATGGATTATTTTCCAAACTGCACCCATTTTCTGACAGACGAAATGCCTCAAGCTTCTATCATTATTTCCGTGGCAAATGTTCAGACTAGTTACATTTCATCCGTTCAGACTTTCAAAGTTAATGCCACGTATACTAACACTAATTTCCATCGAATGCTATTAGTAAGAAGGCAGTAGCATTCACACAGTTTCTTCACAATAACGGCCATTTTTTGGGACCGACACCCGTGAGGTTACTTCTCCGAACACTACAATCTTAACCTCTTCATATCTCGACTCAAACTTTAAATTTCCTACATATTCGCACTTCTTACCTTTTTCCTTTTGCCTTCATACAAAACCCTCGTTGAGTAGAGATTTTCCAAGCGTAGCTTAGTTGTGGCACAAGGCCGAAAGTACGGGGCATCTTGTGAGAATCGAACTCACTTTTCAGTAGTAACTGATCTAGCAAGCCAAGCTTGCTAACCATTACACCACGCCAAGGTGCCCAAAACCCTTGTTGAGTAACCCTGTACCTCGAGTGCATCTTGGGCCTTGGTGAACAAATAATAATAAATAAATTTAACTGGCATATCCTCGTAAGGAATATGTGTTCATTCGGTTCTGGGGAAGCATATTGGTTATTGTTTATTTACGGAATGGTAGATTTTTTCCAGTATGGATGGAAGACAGGTTACTGAAGAAAATGTGGGCATCGGCAAAGCAAAATAATTGACAAGAGCAGCATGTAGAGAAATTCACGGGGAAGAGGCTAAACTTTAACCTTTAAGATGAAAAGACAGCAGACCCCAAAGGCTTTGCCGCTAGCAGGAGCCAGGAAACGAGAAAAGTCGAAAATGAAGAGAAATGTAGAATACGTATATATATAGAGAGAGAGAGACGAGATATTAGCGAAATAAAGAAAAAGAAAGGAGGAGATATTAATCTCCTCCTTTCTTTTTTGCTAAAGAAAGAAAGAAAGAAAGAAAGAAAGAAAGAAAAAAGAAATGGAGAAAGGAAGAAAGAAAGAAAGAAAGAACGAAAGAAAGAAATAAAAGAGAGAATGGAAAGAAAGATGAAATGCAAAGACAGCTAAAGGTAGGGAAGCTAGAAAGAAACAGAGAGTCGAGTAAGAAGGAAAAGATAGAGAAATTAAAAGAAATATCGAGAAAAAAAGGAAGAGATGAAAAAAAAGACGAAGGAAAGAAAGGAAGTGACAAAAATGAAGAGAAAGAGATGAATAGAGAAGAAAAGAATAAAGTTGGGGCATAAAGAGAAAGAAAGATGAGAAAATCGTAAAAAGAAAAGAGATAATGAATAAGATGGAAATTTATAGACAGAAAAGATAAAAGAAAGAGCCATAAAAAGATAAAGAACAGATGAGATAGTGATATATATATATATATATATATATATATATATATATATATATATATATATATGTATGTATGTATGTATATATATATATATATATATATATATATATATATATATATATATATATATAGATAGAGAGAGAGAGAGAGAAGTTGAAAAGAGTAAAAAGATGTAAATAGATAAAAACAGATAAGACTTTCGATATATATATATATATATATATATATATATATATATATATATATATAGATAGAAATAAAGAGAGAGAAGAGCAAAAAATATAATTAAAGAGAGGGAGCGTGAAAAGAAAAAGAAGATATAGAGAGAGCGAAGAGAAAAAGAAAAACAGGTGGAAACAGTAATAGAGTAAGAGAGAGGGAAAGTTAAAAAGAAGGTTTGAAACTAGGAGAAACAAGATGGAAGAAATAAGGAACATGAGTGTGAATGAAAGAGAGATAGAGACAGAGGTCACAGTGAAAGAGAGAAGAATGAGAGAGAATAAGAACAGAAAAAGAGAGAGTAAAATGAGAACGTGAGAGAAACAAGAAAAGAGAGTTAGGAATGAGAAAGAGGTTTCAGAGAGACGGTGGGAAATCTAGAAAAAAAAGAAGCTAGGCGGAAGCAGTGAGGAGAAAAAAAAACCCACACTAAGAGAGATCGAGAGAGAAGTTTCCGTGAGAGTCCGAGAATAGGAAGAGAATGGAAAGCGGCTAAAAGAAAATTAACAGGTACACACGGATACGGACACACAAGCAGCCGTAAGCACACAAGGATACACACGTGCAAATATATCCGCAAGTGACGCCACGCATAATCAACATCTTTGCAAAGCAAACAAATAAACACCGCCCCTGCCCGACACACGCACACCAATAATAAGATGTACAAAAAATACACGAACCGAAAATTCGAACAGGCAAAGAATAAATAAACAAATTCAGAACGAAAAAAAAAATCAAGGAAACACTAAAAGAAAACTACAAAAGAAGATTCACCAGTGGGGATTGAACTTGGGCTAAAGGATTTACGCTAATGCAAAATACAACCTGACATATGACGTTGGCATCCGGAAGTCAGCCTGTCCATTCGCCGGAAGCCCGCTTTGGTCTCAATGCACACCCTTTTTCCAAGTGATTGGACGTGTTTTGTTTCTTTAGTCATATATTTTTATTTCTTACGTTTTTTATCCTTCATTGGATTGACATTGTTTTACTTTCATTCCTTTTATGGAAAAAAAAACAAACCCCAAAACAAAATCAAAACAAAGAAAAACAAGCCAATAAACCCAAAAGAAAAAAAAAACTGATTTATATTGAATACTGATTATCTTATCTTACAAAGTTTCCAAATTCTCTTCATTCGTTCGTCTTTTCGAGATATGTACTGAACTATGCTTGCTTAATACGACACAAGGATAAATGGAGTGGACGTAGGAACATATTCTATTCAGTCAATCTTTCAGATAAATATGTCAGGCTGGTTCAAAGAATCAGCATTCAAAATCCTTATTTATACAACATTTTGAACACGAGAATCAGACACAGGAAATCTTTAACTGAGACACTTGGCGGATTCTGTTTGTTTCATTTGCAGATCTACTTCAGTTCCTTTCTTTCTTTCTTTTGCACATCTGATTCCTCCTTTAATTATATTTTTTTCTTTTGCACATCTACAGCCTTCCTTTCTTTTTTTCTTCCTTTTTGCACAAATGCCTTATTTTTTAGACCTTCTTTCTTTCTTTTTCTTTCTTCTAGTCTCCTTCTTTATAGTCTCTTTGGTCCTCCTCTTCTTTCTTTCTTTCTTCTTACCTTCGATTTATTTACATCTCTCATATACATACATTTTCTTTTTTCTTTCTTTCTTTCTTTTTCTTTCTTTCTTTCTTTTGCACATCTGATTCCTCCTTTAATTTCTTTCTTTCTTTTGCACATCTACAGCCTTCCTTTCTTTTTTCTTCCTTTTTGCACAAATGCCTTATTTTTATACTTTCTTTCTTTTGCACATCTAAATTCTCCCTTCCTTCTTTTCTTCCTTTCTACACAAATGCCTTATTTTTATACTTTCTTTGTTTTATTATTCTCACTTTCTCATATCTGCCTTATTTCATTCTTTAATTCTTTTATTCATCAGACTTTCTTTTCCTTTCTTTCATTAACACAAAAACCTCCCTTCCTTCTGTTCTTCCTTTGTTCATTCCTCCCCTTTTTTTTACATCAGCTTTCCTTCCTTCCTTACCATTTTTTTGTTGTCTTTTCTCTTCTAATTTGAAACTATTTTTCTACCCGATTTTATTATCTGTCTATATTTCTGAGATGAGATGATTCGGACTATTGTCCTCATCTTTGTCACCATATTTATTTCAGTATCTGTCTATATTTCTGAGATGACTATTTGTCATTATTTCATTATTCGGACTATTGTCCTCATCTTTATTTATTTATCACAACGTTTCGACCTTTCAGTATCTGTCTATATTTCTGAGATGAGTATTATGTACATTATTTACATTATATTGTCCTCATTATTTACCTTTCAGTATCTGTCTATATTCTGAGATGGACTATTGTCCGGACTATTGTCCTCATCTTTGTCACCATATTTATCACAACGTTTCGGCCTTTCAGTATCTGTCTATATTTCTGAGATGAGGTATTATGTACATTATTTACATTATTCGGACTATTGTCCTCATCTTTGTCACCATATTTATCACAACGTTTCGACCTTTCAGTATCTGTCTATATTTCTGAGATGAGGTATTATGTACATTATTTACACCATATTTTATTCGGACTATTGTCCTCATCTTTGTCACCATATTTATCACAACGTTTCGACCTTTCAGTATCTGTCTATATTTCTGAGATGAGGTATTATGTACATTATTTACATTATTCGGACTATTGTCCTCATCTTTGTCACCATATTTATCACAACGTTTCGACCTTTCAGTATCTGTCTATATTTCTGAGATGAGGTATTATGTACATTATTTACATTATTCTGAGATGACTATTGTCCTCATCTTTGTCACCATATTTATTACAACGTTTCGGCCTTTCAGTATCTGTCTATATTTCTGAGATGAGGTATTATGTACATTATTTACATTATTCGGACTATTGTCCTCATCTTTGTCACCATATTTATCACAACGTTTCGGCCTTTCAGTATCTGTCTATATTTCTGAGATGAGGTATTATTTATTATTATTTACATTATTTGGACATATTGTCCGGCCTTTCATCTTTGTCACCATATTTATCATACAACGTTTCGACCTTTCAGTATCTGTCTATATTTCTGAGATGAGGTATTATGTACATTATTTACATTATTCGGACTATTGTCCTCATCTTTGTCACCATATTTATCACAAACGTTTCGATCTGTCTTTCTGAGAGAGGTATTATGTATCTGTCTATATTTCTGAGATGAGGTATTATGTACATTATTACATTATTCGGACTATTGTCCTCATCTTTGTCACCATATTTATTACAACGTTTCGGCCTTTCAGTATCTGTCTATATTTCTGAGATGAGGTATTATGTACATTATTTACATTATTCGGACTATTGTCCTCATCTTTGTCACCATATTTATCACAACGTTTCGGCTTTTTCTGTCTATATCTGTCATTATTATATTTCGTTTGAGATGAGATGAGGTATTATGTACATTATTTATTATTGACTATTGTCCTCACTATATTTTCACAACGTTTCGGCCTTTCAATTATTATTTACATTAGACTATTGTCCTCATCTTTGTCACCATATTTATTACAACGTTTCGGCCTTTCAGTATCTGTCTATATTTCTGAGATGAGGTATTATGTACATTATTTACATTATTCGGACTATTGTCCTCATCTTTGTCACCATATTTATTACAACGTTTCGACCTTTCAGTATCTGTCTATATTTCTGAGATGAGGTGTTATGTACATTATTTACATTATTCGGACTATTGTCCTCATATTTGTCGCCATATTTATCACAGCGTTTCAGCCTTTCAGTATCTGTCTATATTTCTGAGATGAGGTATTATGTACATTATTTACATTATTCGGACTATTGTCCTCATCTTTGTCACCATATTTATCACAAAGTTTCGACCTTTCAGTATCTGTCTATATTTCTGAGATGAGGTATTATGTACATTATTTACAATTATTCAGACATATTGTTTCTTTTCAGTATCTTTATATTCTGAGATGATATTTATTTACATTATTCGGAATTGTTTCTTTGTCCATATTTTCAACGTTTCGGCCTTTCTGTCTATATTTCTGAGATGAGGTATTATTTACATTATTTACATTATTCGGACTATTGTCCTCATCTTTGTCACCATATTTATCACAACGTTTCGGCCTTTCAGTATCTGTCTATATTTCTGAGATGAGGTATTATGTACATTATTTACATTATTCGGACTATTGTCCTCATCTTTGTCACCATATTTATCACAACGTTTCGACCTTTCAGTATCTGTCTATATTTCTGAGATGAGGTATTATGTACATTATTTACATTATTCGGACTATTGTCCCATCTTTGTCACCATATTTTCACAACGTTTCACCATATTTATGAGATGAGGTACACTTTACATTTTCGACTATTGTCCCCTTTTCAATCACAACGTTTCGGCCTTTCAGTATCTGTCTATATTTCTGAGATGAGGTATTATGTACATTATTTACATTATTCGGACTATATTTGTCCTCATCTTTGTCTACCATATTTATCATTATTCAACGTTTCATCTTTGACCATATTTTCAGTTTACCTTTCAGTATCTGTCTATATTTCTGAGATGAGGTATTATGTACATTATTTACATTATTCGGACTATTGTCCTCATCTTTGTCACCATATTTATCACAACGTTTCGGCCTTTCAGTATCTGTCTATATTTCTGAGATGAGTACATTTATTATGTACATTATTTACATTATTCGGACTATTGTCCTCATCTTTGTCACCATATTTATCACAACGTTTCGGCCTTTCAGTATCTGTCTATATTTCTGAGATGAGGTATTATGTACATTATTTACATTATTCGGACTATTGTCCTCATCTTTGTCACCATATTTATCACAACGTTTCGGCCTTTCAGTATCTATCTGTCTATATTTCTGAGATGAGGTATTATGTACATTATTTACAATTATTTAGACTATTGTCCTCATCTTTGTCACCATATTTATTACAACGTTTCGGCCTTTCAGTATCTGTCTATATTTCTGAGATGAGGTATTATGTACATTATTTCATTATTCGGACTATTGTGATCTTTGTCACCATATTTATCACAACGTTTCGGCCTTTCAGTATCTGTCTATATTTCTGAGATGTATTATGTACATTATTTACATTATTCGGACTATTGTCCTCATCTTTGTCACCATATTTATTACAACGTTTCGACCTTTCAGTATCTGTCTATATTTCTGAGATGAGGTATTATGTACACTATTTACAATTATTCAGACTATTGTCCTCATCTTTGTCACCATATTTATTACAACGTTTCGGCCTTTCAGTATCTGTCTATATTTCTGAGATGTACATTATTTACATTATTTATTGTCCTCATCTTTGTCACATTTATCACAACGTTTACCTTTCATTATTTCTGAGATGACTATTGTACATTATTTACAATTATTCCTCATCTTTGTCACCATATTTATCACAACGTTTCGGCCTTTCAGTATCTGTCTATATTTCTGAGATGAGGTATTATGTACATTATTTACATTATTCGGACTATTGTCCTCATCTTTGTCACCATATTTTTACAACGTTTCGGCCAATCTGTCTATATTTCTGAGATGAGGTATTATGACATTATTTTTAATTATTCATTGTCCTCATCTTTGTCACCATATTTATATTTTTGAGATGAGGTATTATGTACATTATTTACATTATTCGGACTATTGTCCTCATCTTTGTCACCATATTTATTACAACGTTTCGGCCTTTCAATATCTGTCTATATTTCTGAGATGAGGTATTATGTACATTATTTACATTATTCGGACTATTGTCCTCATCTTTGTCACCATATTTATCACAACGTTTCGGCCCTTCAATATCTGTCTATATTTCTGAGATGAGGTATTATGTACATTATTTACATTATTCGGACTATTGTCCTCATCTTTGTCACCATATTTATCACAACGTTTCGGCCCTTCAATATCTGTCTATATTTCTGAGATATCTGTCTATATTTCTGAGATGAGGTCGACCTTTATGTACATTATTTACATTATTCGGACTATTGTCCTCATCTTTGTCACCATATTTATCACAACGTTTCGACCTTTCAGTATCTGTCTATATTTCTGAGATGAGGTATTATGTACATTATTTACATTATTCGGACTATTGTCCTCATCTTTGTCACCATATTTATCACAACGTTTCGGCCTTTCAGTATCTGTCTATATTTCTGAGATGAGGTATTATGTACATTATTTACATTATTCGGACTATTGTCCTCATCTTTGTCACCATATTTATCACAACGTTTCGGCCTTTCAGTATCTGTCTATATTTCTGAGATGAGGTATTATGTACATTATTTACATTATTCGGACTATTGTCCTCATCTTTGTCACCATATTTATCACAACGTTTCGACCTTTCAGTATCTGTCTATATTTCTGAGATGAGGTATTATGTACATAATTTACATTATTCGGACTATTGTCCTCATCTTTGTCACCATATTTATCACAACGTTTCGGCCTTTCAGTATCTGTCTATATTTCTGAGATGAGGTATTATGTACATTATTTACATTATTCGGACTATTGTCCTCATCTTTGTCACCATATTTATCACAACGTTTCGGCCCTTCAATATCTGTCTATATTTCTGAGATGAGGTATTTTGTACATTATTTACATTATTCGGACTATTGTCCTCATCTTTGTCACCATATTTATCACAACGTTTCGACCTTTCAGTATCTGTCTATATTTCTGAGATGAGGTATTATGTACATAATTTACATTATTCGGACTATTGTCCTCATCTTTGTCACCATATTTATCACAACGTTTCGGCCTTTCAGTATCTGTCTATATTTCTGAGATGAGGTATTATGTACATTATTTACATTATTCGGACTATTGTCCTCATATTTGTCG